GAGACAGGGTCTCGCTCTTGCTCAGGCTGGTCTCGAACTCCTGAGCTCAAACAATCTGCCCACCTCGGCCTCCCAGAGTGCTAGGATTTACAGGCGTGAGCCACCGCGCCCGGCCAGATTTTTTATTAATTTTTTTAAGGGACGAAATGAGAGTTGAGAAGAGGGCAGAATAGGGCACAAGTTGCTTCTCCACAAAGCATCAGTGAGATTGTTGGCCCCAGAGTGATGAGCCCAATGGCCAGGCCTACTGTCCAGTCATCTGCTTCTGGCCCCAGCACCTTGCCGTTTGCAAGGTTCCTGGCATCGTGTTGCTGTTATTGCTCTGTGAGTCTCCTTGTGGACATTTGTTTTCCTTTCTCCTGGGTAAGTACCTAGGAATGGAATTGCTGGGCCACAGGGTAGTGATATATTTAACTTTATAAAAAACTTCATGCATATTTGCAAAGTTTTTGTGACAATTTTACTCCCATCAGCAGTGCCCATTTCTTAGGGTCCTCCAAAAAAATCTTGGATTGCCAACTTTGAACTTCTAGTCATCCCGTTGGTATCTTACTGTGGCATTAATTTGTATTTCTGTGATGACTAATACTATTGAGCACTTTTTTGTGTGCTTATTAGCTATCTCTCTATCTTCTTTAGGAAGTGCCTGTTCAAGTCTCTTGCCAAGTTTTTGCCTGTATTTTTTTGGTAAATTACTGAGTTGTGCAAGTTGTTAAACTAGTCTGGATACAAGTCCTTTGTCAGATATTATGTGCTAGGAATATTTTCTGCCAGTTGTATCTTGTCTATGCATATTCTTAATTGTGTCTGTTCATAAGCAGATGGGTTTAATTATGATCAAATCCACTGCATCATTTGTTTTGTTCTATAATGACCACTTTCTTGGTTCTGCCCAAGATATCTTTGCTTGACCCACATTTGCAAATATACTGTCCTTTGTTTTCTTCTAGAATCTCTGTAGTTTTAGTTTTTGCATTTAGGTCTTAGCACGTACCTAAATTAATTTCTGTATTTTGAGTGGGTGAGGTGCGGGGTCAAGATACATTTGAAAACACTTTCCTTTTGACATTGATTTTATTTGGGGTGATGGTCAAAAAATATCTGCCTTTGCACCCATGGGCCTACTATAGGGTTCCATATTCTCTTTTCTGTATTTTTAAGTTCTAGAGTTTCCATTTGGTTCTTCATTATAGCTGTCATTTTTCTGTTGAGATTCTTTCTCATTGGTTTCTTCATTATATTCATGTTTCTCTTTCAATTCTGGAACAACACATTTATTGCCAATAGCTGTCTTTAAGTCCTCATCTGCTAATCCCATTGTCCTTCCCATTTGTGGACCTATTGGAACATTTTCTCCTTGGCATGGGTCATGTTTCTCTCCTCATGTCTAGAAATTTTTGCATAGAGGCAAGAATTATTTTACCTGTTAGTTTGTTATTAATAGGCATCTTGGTTTTGTTGTTTCCATCAATTCTGTGTTGAGT